ATATGTCTCTACACTTGATATAAGACATAATAATGTACCGTTCACAAGGTGAGTCGGAAACAGGCTTCTCGTTATTAGGCTTTAATAACTCTTGTTTGACAACAGATGATCACAGGTACATGTACACTTTGTGGGTTCTACCTCACACTAACCTAACTCCTACCCCTACACATATATTTATAGCAGTGTCAACGTCACAACTCCCCGCCCTCCCCCGTCCGCTCCCCCAACCACAGGCCCGCACCTCAACCAGCATCACTGTGCAGCTCTATGATTGGCAGAGAGACGGGGGATGCCTGAGTGACACCCTGGACATCTTATGCAGGGTCGCTACACTACCCCCCCACTACAAAGTTCCTCGCCCACGAGGAACAAACAAACACAGCACAACACTACATCTACACACTGTACTTTGACTAGGAAGGTCTGGGTGGACTACCATCCCTTCCAGTGAGACCAGGGCGCATTCTTGCCCTCTACAGGAACTGAGGGGTCTCACTATAACTTTTCTACCAAACAAAGTCTCTGAAGCGACCCGGGGGTCGTGTCTGCCTTCTCGGCAGGGGGACTGGGGTTGCCGGATCTGGCCCAGGCGGCGAAAAAATGGGGGGACTCTCAGTCCCTGATGGGGGACTGCTGCTCTGTTCGCCGGGGGGCCTGAGTGGGGATGTCGAGGGGACGGCTGTGGGCCCCGAGGTTCCTTGGGTCTGTGGGGAAGCGACTCCTCTGTATGGAGCCAATCTGTCTCTGTGGAGCACCACTTTTCTCCCCTTTGGTGGCAGCTGCACCCTGTAGACCACTTCCCCCACCCTCTCCAGTACTCTGCAGGGACCAACCCACTGACTGTCCAGTTTTGGGCACCGGCCTTTCTTTCGTTGTGGGCTGTAGACCCAAACCAGCTCCCCGGCCCGGAAATGCTGCCCTCTGGTCCTGGTGTCATAGTTCCGCTTCTGTCCACCTCGTCCAGTCTCAGCTCCATCTCCTTCAGTTCGCCTCCGAGTCTGAACCTCACAGAGTCCAGGGTCTGCTCCGCCTCTGCCTTCATCGAGGCCTCTCTGTGTTGGGCGTTCTGCTCCATGGTACTCCTCTCCGCTATAGCTACGCTTGCCTGCTTCTGGGACTCATCCAGCTGAGATTTACAGGTATCCAACTCTGCATCTGTCCTTTTCAGGTCTTCTAGAGTTTTCAAAGTCTCCAGTTGGGATTGTTCTAGCTTATTCTGGAGCTCGTTGTAACCTTGCTGCAGCGCCTTAGCGTCTCTACCCATCTCGCTGATCCTTTCCTGGTACTTGATGCAGTCCCTCTGCAGCTGCCGGACCTCCAGCTGCTTCTCCCTCAGCAGCTCCTCCTGCTTACCAGACTCTGCTTCTGCTCTCTCTCTCTGTGCTTGCCTCATGTCCTCCTCCAGCCTGGCGGCCCGGTTGCTCTCGCTCTGTGCCTCAGCCTCCAACTCGGCCCGCTCCCTTGCCAACCGCTCCACCTCCCGCTGCAGCTCGGCCAGGTGGTCCCGGTTGTCCGCCGCCTCCTGCTGATAGTCTGCGATGCTGCCGTTGAGCTGGGACAGCTGATTCGTCAGACGCTCCTCCAGGTTGTCCTTCTCGGCTTCCAGGCTCCTGAGCAGCTCTTTAAACTGCGCCTCCCTCTTGGCACCCTCCTCCACCAGGCTCCTTTCACTCTCTTTGCCCTCTTGGAGTCACTTCTCCAGAGAGGCCACAAGTTTCTCCTTCTCTTTACTCTCCTGGAGATCTCGCTCAAGAGAGGCCAGCTCCGCTTTGAGTCTAGCCTCCTGTTGCTGCCGCAGTTCCCTCTCTGCCTTGACAGCTGCTTCCATCTCCCTCATTTTCTCCTCTAATAAAACTTGAACACTTTCAGTCATTTCGGTAACCCATACAGGCTTCTCCTCCTCTCTGCTGCTCCTCACAGCCGGTGGTACCGGCCCTCCGTTGCTCCTCGCCGCTACACTCCACACAATCTCTCTCTCCACAGCCATCTCCAAGGCCGCCTGCAGGGACTGTGGATGCTGCAGCCCCAACCCTGAAGTCCGCAGGGAGGAGAGCCCTGATGAATTGATCACGTGCCAGCTCACTCTGCACTCTGGGTGGCATGTGTGCATATGCCCCGCCGCGTCAGGCTCTCCACGTCGTTAGCCAACGCACGCAGCGTCTCTCCAGACTTCCTACAGCGGTTACTCAATTCGTTCCGGAGCAGCTCTGGCGGGAAACACTGTCCAAACCGCCTCTTCAAAGCCCCCGCTAACGCTTCATAGCTGTGTTGGTCCTCAAGGCTAAGTAGTAGCAGACATGAAAGAGCCTCGTCTGTGAGGCACAAAGCTAGCTGTAGTGCTTTAGTCTCTATTGACCACCCCCCGGCATGTGCAAGTAGTTCAAATTGGGCATGGAAAGCCTCCCAGTCTGCCTTACCCGAGTATTTGGGTGTTTTCACGGACGCGGCGGCTGCTACTGGTTGATGGGCGCCGCCATTGTTTACATCCAGCTTGGAAATGGCGCGAAATGCCGCTGAAGACCGCCACATTCCCGCGTCTCTAGCCATCTTCACCGCCGACTATCTCAGGCGCTCTCTCGCCTCCCGTGCACTCCTGAACTCCCCACTCATGTCCTTCGACCACCCGCATGCTCCATCTTCCTCTCCATCACTACTTTCCTGCTTCACTCTCATCTTGCTGAACTTTTCCATCTCCGCTAGCTTACCGGCTAGCTCCGTGACGCAGTTACGAACTCTCGTCAGGATAGACGTCCTCCGTTCGAAAAGTCACTTCTGACACCAATGTAGCGTTCACAAGGTGAGTCGGAAACAGGCTTCTCGTTATTAGGCTTTAATAACTCTTGTTTGACAACAGATGATCACAGGTAAATGTACCCTTGTGGATTCAACTTCACACTAACCTAACTCCTACCCCTACACATATATTTATAGTAGTGTCTACGTCACAACTCCCCGCCCTCCCCCTTCCGCTCCCCCAACCACAGGCCCGCACCTCAACCAGCATCACTGTGCAGCTCTATGATTGGCAGAGAGACGGGGGATGCCTGAGTGACACCCTGGACATCCTATGCAGGGTCGCTACAATAACTTCGGCAGTAACAATGCAGTGAGATATCGGTTCTTGTTTTTAGACAATGCATCATCTTGTTAAGTCAAAGAATCTTATTTTGAGTTGTATCTCAGATTTTGTTACATATTTATTAGAAAATCACCAACTAACATCAGAAAACAGAAAACCTTTGAGCATTTGCGGCTTATATTGTAACACAACATTTCATGATTCTGGTCAAATATAGTTCAAAATGAGTTCTCCCAGCTAATCACACGATCTGATTTATCTAAATATCCCTTCTTATTTCAAGAAATGTTACCAAGCTATTTTTCACTTGTTCTATTGGCAGATCTTTTTACTTATTTCAAGTGAAAACAGCTTGTTTTCATTATTGTTTAACTTGTTTTTGGAGCAGCATTTTTTACAGCGTACTCACTAGCTAACAGCTAACAGCTAGCATCAAGTAGCTTTCTCCTGTGGGTTTTATCAAGGATTTGGTGTTCACTAGTGATGGGAATTCCGGCTCTTCTTGGTGAGCCGGATCATTTGGCTCGGCTCACCAAGAAGAGCCGGCTCTTTCGGCTCCCAAACGGCTCTTCAGTTTACCACATATTATACCTTTTAATTAAATCAAATGTAGCCCTGTTTTGACTAATGATTTATATGTGTACACATATATCACTTAAATTATTCAATACATCCTTTGTACTGAAGTATTCAAAAGTAAAAATTACATCTTTAATATAAATGATTTGCTGTGGCCAATTGTTTTCATTGCATTTACAGACCCGTGCAACTCTCTGATACCACCCAATGAATGCATTGACTTGCTTGTATAACCACGCTACACAAAACAGATAGCAACACCTATAAAAACTATAGGTGTAATACTACTAACTGTATCGACCTATATAAACTATATAAATATAGTTTTTTTTTCAAAATACCAAAAAGATCCTGCATTTTAGCCATGCCTCATTTCGCTCTATTTGCTCTTTCCAGCGCTGTTTTTGCAGAGGGCTGATTCTGTGTGCTGCAGCTGACCACGCCCCCCTGCAGGAGAGGGGAGCGTGCTTTGAGATCAGCTGCTGGGCTCAGAAGAGGGGGAGAAAAAGAGATCTCCGTCCTCCGTGTTTTATTCTTATAGAAGTAAGAAGAGAAGTAATGGGGCAGAAACCCTCCTTTTTACGCAGCGGCCCAGACATAGACATCAAACGGCGACACATATTCAGTTGCCAGTTACTTTGGCATTAGGGCAGGGATATCTAGATACTTTCCAAGGTTTGACATCATGAAGTGTGCTACTTTTAAAGCAAGCAACGATGTTTTCAAATATGTAATCAAAAAGCTCCTCAAAAACGCTATCAAAGCAGTTCCTGCCGTTGCTACGTAGTTCAAACAGTAACAACGGACTACTTTTCTTAGCGGATGCATGTCAATTTAAATCAATACATAAAACTATTTTTTAAATCAATAAAATCATTTTCTAAATCCATAAAATAAAAGCATTTCCATTAATATTGGGAGTCATGTCGTTACTTTGTTGAGAATTTGGCCATGTAATAAGCGGGATAATGTGAACATTGCACATTGCATAATGTGCCTTCATGCCGATCTAGATCCCTCCGCAAAAATGGCTCGTTCGCGGGACGAGAGCCGGCTCCCGTCGTTCACTTAAAAGAGCCGGCTCTTTGAGCCGGCTCGTTCGCGACCGACACATCACTGTGTTCACGCTGTTTACCAGGGAAACCAGGACATATCATTTGTGAGTTTATTATGAGTGCATTAGCCTCGGCCCTGACGGTAGTACCGGCACGTTTTCAGATTTTAGCATCGACCTGGTACCTAATCATCTGTTAAACCACTGCATTTCCTCAGGGTGATTAATAAAGGTCCTTCTTATCTGATCTTTTTTGGACATCCCTGTGCACATCTGAATACTCACTGTGTGCGCAGGGTGAAAGCAGCGCTGGTGATGGAGGTCGGCAGGTTGAGGCCCTTTGTGATTTCCCTCCAGATCTTCTTGTTGATCACCTCCACCAGGCCTCCCTTCTCCGTCACCAGCTTGTACAACATGTACAGATCCAGGACCTGCTTGGCCATAATTGGGATGCGATTGACCGGGGTTCCTATGGAAGAGCGGAAAAACCATACATTAAATCAATAGGGCATATAAATCATACAGCTGAATCGCAATAGCTTCGAGGCACACCATGAATGCATTGCAAAGTGCATCTGTGTATTACGTGTGCATGCATTTTTAAAATGAGACAATCCCAATGGGAATGGAGCCCATAATGCTGACGACTCCTCAGACATATTGGCACCTAACACAGAAAATACATTTAAAGCCGCTGCTGTAGAAATGACCAGGCAGGATGAAATCTAAATTATGCATTCATTCATTCCTCCACCAGCCACCATTTTAAAGGTCTAGCTCAGCCGCATGATGCATTACATTAATGCACACACACATTGCTTTTTTTTTTATTACTGCACATATTATTTTATTATTACTAGTAATATTATTAATAATGTTCAATAACTAACGTGCAATTACGTAACTACCACTACGGTTTTTGCACTACTAAATACTGTTAATATTTACATTAATGATGTGACTGTCGATGTGTCCTGTGTTTTGAATTGCTCTTTTGACGGCGCTGTTAGTGCACAGTCTTATTAATATTGTGCTGCTGTGTTTATTGTATTTTTGTAACAACAATTTCCTTCGGGATGAATCAAGTCTTATCTTGTATTTTATTCCATTCTATTTCAATGTAAATACTGCTACATTTTATTGTACTATATTTTTTACAATGTTTTCTTAAAATAGTTCTCTATCTGTGTTTTTAATTCCTGTCTAACTTTTATGTATGCACCAAGTCAAATCCCTCGTACGTGTCAACCTACCCGCTTTAACCTTTATTAGAATTATGGCATTTTTATTACTATTATCTTTTTATTTGTATTTCTATTGTACCTATATGTTCAAATTGTTTTATATTGTTGCATCGACTCTTATCTTGTGTCTTATCTTTCAGAGAGAAACCATTATTTATTTTATTGTATTTTATAATCATACCTTTATCCTCCTTGTGTCTATTAACCTGATCATGTTATATTTTACTGCATTTACCTTTTAAAGTTCTTAACAAATAATCTGAGGGGAATTTATTTTTGTTTGTTTTGAACTTGCGATGTGTCATTTTGTAAAAGCACTTTGAGCTGCACGTGTTGTATGAAAAGTGCTATATAAATAAAGCTTTATTATTATGAATGAACCTGCTGTGATGAGAGCGTGCTGTCAGGATGCTGCTAAAGCCCCCTGTTGACGGCACGCCTGTTACATTTGGCTTGATAACATATTAGCCCAGTTAAGGCAATCTGGCTTGACCTGGAAAAGGGGATTCACAAACAACACAAAGCAAAGCGGCTCTGAACTTTTGATACCGATGCATTAATCTTGTCAACAGCTTATCTGCAGTGAGGCTTGCAGGGGGGGGGCAACGACGAAAAGAAGGAGGAGGAGGGGCTGCGACTGAATAAAAAAGTGTGCAACAGTGTAAGCATGAGGAGGGGAGTGGGGAGATTTAAATTATTACGTTTGTTTAAAAGTGCTAAAATGATTTCTTGATAGAAAAATAGTACGGAAAAATGTGATATTTTCTTACTAGTTTCTGACACTTTTAAGATGAACAGATACAATTAGAATCATTTTGGGAGATTAATCGACAATAACACACCTTATTAGAGGCAGTACTAGCAGAGGTGGAAGTAGTGGAGTACAAATACTTCGTTACTGTACTTCAGTACATTTTTCTGGTATCAGTACTTTACTCCACTACTTATTTTTCTGACGACTTTTTACTTTTACTCCTGACATTTTGAACACAAATACCTGTACTTTCTACTTCTTACATGTTGAACACAAATACCTGTACTTTCTACTTCTTACATGTTGAACACAAATACCTGTACTTTCTACTTCTTACATGTTGAACTCAAATACCTGTACTTTCTACTTCTTACATGTTGAACTCAAATACCTGTACTTTCTACTTCTTACATGTTGAACTCAAATACCTGTACTTTCTACTTCTTACATGTTGAACACAAATACCTGTACTTTCTACTTCTTACATGTTGAACACAAATACCTGTACTTTCTACTTCTTACATGTTGAACTCAAATACCTGTACTTTCTACTTCTTACATGTTGAACTCAAATACCTGTACTTTCTACTTCTTACATGTTGAACTCAAATACCTGTACTTTCTACTTCTTACATGTTGAACTCAAATACCTGTACTTTCTACTTCTTACATGTTGAACTCAAATACCTGTACTTTCTACTTCTCACATGTTGAACACAAATACCTGTACTTTCTACTTCTTACATGTTGAACACAAATACCTGTACTTTCTACTTCTTACATGTTGAACACAAATACCTGTACTTTCTACTTCTTACATGTTGAACACAAATACCTGAACTTTCTACTTCTTACATGTTGAACACAAATACCTGTACTTTCTACTTCGTACATGTTGAACACAAATACCTGTACTTTCTACTTCTTACATGTTGAACACAAATACCTGTACTTTCTACTTCGTACATGTTGAACCCAAATACCTGTACTTTCTACTTCTTACATGTTGAACACAAATACCTGTACTTTCTACTTCTTACATGTTGAACTCAAATACCTGTACTTTCTACTTCTTACATGTTGAACCCAAATACCTGTACTTTCTACTTCTTACATGTTGAACACAAATACCTGTACTTTCTACTTCTTACATGTTGAACTCAAATACCTGTACTTTCTACTTCTTACATGTTGAACCCAAATACCTGTACTTTCTACTTCTTACATGTTGAACTCAAATACCTGTACTTTCTACTTCTTACATGTTGAACACAAATACCTGTACTTTCTACTTCTTACATTTTGAACTCAAATACCTGTACTTTCTACTTCTCACATGTTGAACCCAAATACCTGTACTTTCTACTTCTTACATGTTGAACCCAAATACCTGTACTTTCTACTTCTTACATGTTGAACCCAAATACCTGTACTTTCTACTTCTTACATGTTGAACCCAAATACCTGTACTTTCTACTTCTTACATGTTGAACTCAAATACCTGTACTTTCTACTTCTCACATGTTGAACACAAATACCTGTACTTTCTACTTCTTACATGTTGAACACAAATACCTGTACTTTCTACTTCTTACATGTTGAACACAAATACCTGTACTTTCTACTTCTTACATGTTGAACTCAAATACCTGAACTTTCTACTTCTTACATGTTGAACTCAAATACCTGTACTTTCTACTTCTTACATGTTGAACTCAAATACCTGTACTTTCTACTTCTCACATGTTGAACACAAATACCTGTACTTTCTACTTCTTACATGTTGAACACAAATACCTGTACTTTCTACTTCGTACATGTTGAACTCAAATACCTGTACTTTCTACTTCTTACATGTTGAACTCAAATACCTGAACTTTCTACTTCTTACATGTTGAACACAAATACCTGTACTTTCTACTTCTTACATGTTGAACTCAAATACCTGTACTTTCTACTTCTCTCATTTTCCAAACAGCTGGTTCCTTTAGTCTGAATGTGTGTTTGATGCGTGATCATTATTATTTAGAGTCATTGCGTGCCTATTGATTTGAACACGATCCGTGTATCCATCACTTCCTGGTCTTCTCTAAAGAAGAGGGACCAATGGAAACGTTGTCATGTTGCCGTTGTTCAGCATGGAAACATTCATTAGCTAACAATGACATTATTGTTCTATTAATATAAAGGGAGGTCAGGTACTCTTTAAAACAGCTGCTAGTTATGGGTACTTTTTACTGAAGTACATTTCAAAGCCTCTTTACTTTGACTTGAGTAAAGAAGTTTAGTCAGTACTTCTACTTTTACCAGAGTATTTTAAAACACAAGTATCTGTACTTCTACTTGAGTAAAGGATGTGTACTTTTGCCCTCTCTGGGAGTTAGGATTGTGACAATCTGCTAATCCTCGGTCAGAAATGGGTGTGGGGGGGGGGGGGGGGGTGCCTCTCCTCTGCTGTGGAGAGGCACAGATTTGTACTTTAATGCCGGCCAATCCCTCGGCCTCAGACTCATTAATGACTCGGCAAAATAGCAGTGTGATCAGGCCATGAAGATTAGCCCTGATTCATTCTCTTAAGTTAGCAACATGTCTGTAAGCCATGTACGAACACATGGACCTACATAAGGGCGCAGATCAGAGGGTGTGACTTGCTAAGAGCACTAATTAATAATTAGCTGAGGGCGGTGGAAATAGATTCATGTAAGAGTTAAGAGTCTTATGTTGTAAGATTGTGAATTGAATCAGAAATCTGTTTTAGGGCTCTTTTTTAAACTTCTCTAATAATACATTTGATTTCAAAGCGCTTCATCAGGTGCTCATAAACATCTAACATGCCACTGATACTGGCTGAGGATATTCATGATTATTGTGAGTGTTTGTACGCCGATCATCAGATCAAGGGGGGTGCTGGGGAACTCCAGTTCGAAACCCGCTCCTGCCGCCACTGCGTCAGGCCGTTGTGTCCTTGAGCAAGACACTTCACCTGAACTTGCTCCTGTGGGTATTGTCCACAGTATCTGACCATTGCATGTATGATATATGTGTAATGTGTGTATATGTAAAGCGCTTTGAGTCATTGAAAAAGCGCTATAATAAATGTAAGGAATTATTATTATTATTATATATCCCAGTTTAGTGTTCAACAAAGAGGCTAGATATTGCCACTGATAGACGGTTATCCCAAACTAATTAACATGTGCATTCAAAAGTGTGTTTTGATGAAACAATGTATGTTGTAAGATTGTGAATTGATTTAGAAATCTGTTTTTTGTAGGGCTCTTTTTTAAACTTATACAATAATATATTTGATTTCCAAGCGGTTTATCAGGTGCTCAAAAACATCAAACATGAAAGCGAGATAGAGAGCTGATACTCACTGAAGATATTATTATATATATTGTGAGTGTTTGAACACCGATACACAATATATATCAGTGTTTAAAAAAGAGAATATATATTGCCAGTGATAGA